AATCATTTCGGATAACCGGGAATTAGCTTTCGAAAGAGGGATTAGCTCATTTGACTAACGCACGGGGATTAGTCCATTCATAACGATTTCCAGGGAATTAGTCACATACAATAACTGCGATACAAACACTTCGTGGTCGTTTCATTTTGTAAATGAGCAGAAACTGTACAATAACTACAAAATATTAACAATATAGAACTGTTTAATTTTAGCGATGATGGAAAGCTGTATGAATCACTCAAATTACATGACAGCGCTGTTACGTATTTACTCAAAATTTTAGATGAATTTAGGATAGAAGTGAACAGCGGCGGATCCAAAATTTTAGAAAGGAAGGAGGAGGAGAGCAGTTCACGGATGGTTTTCTTTGACAAAATAAAGAAAAGAAAAAAATTGTCCAAACTCTAAAATCGTATTTCCTGGGTTAGGGATACTAGCTCATCATTAGTCCTAAAACTATGTGCCTGGTCGTTACGTGTGGATAAATTAAATGTGTATACAAGTTAAGCAAACACAATTTACGAAAGTCAAAAAGAAAAAAAAAAAAACTCAAAGTTTTGGGGGGGGGGGATGCCCGACGCCCGCCAGTATGTGCTGGATCCGCCTTTGGCTACTTCTTTACTCTTCCTCCCTCCTCTTTCATCAGATTCTGTTTGTTTTAGTATCGAGTCAGGAATACTGTACATGTATGTGACGACCGGTGGATAACATTTCTCTTAGAATTCAATCTGCCAGAAACATTTTTGCTTGATACTATTAAAGAGTTTTGACTGTACACATTAAAAAAAAAATCTTTGCTTGATTATAGCATAATCTATAGGACTTTTGAAAAAAAAATTAAACAAGGTTGATCATGCAAATGCATTCTTAATTTCTGTTAACCATTTGTCATTTTTCCTTATTCTTTCTTCATATATACACTCAATATACAGTCACATGAATTTTTTTGAGTTTAAGCTAAAATTTCAGTTTCCTTGAAAGAGGCGGTCTGTCTAATTTTATGGGGTACATGATTTCACACCTACATTTAGGGCTTTCTTCCAAAAGTATGTATCTATTTTTTTTTTCACCTTCTTTGGCATATTTTATAAATATGCATCCTTGCTTGCACTTATTCACATGGTTTATTTGTTTATCTTTGGAATTTTTTAAAAGTTAATGTAGCATATGCACTCAGAATAGCACATAGCACCTGCATGGAATTAGCATTTAGCACCTGCATGGAAATATCTCTTACATGTAGCAACTGCATGAATGAACGTAATTTTGGATATTGACGCCCACATTACCCCCAGATTTATGTACATGTATAGTTCTGTACTGTGATATACAGCTTTCTATATCATTTGTCTACTAACTTATATATACATATATTAATTTCAGAATATATTTACTGAAACCTTGTTCTTTTTTTTCAATGAAGAACGTTCTTTTGAAAAATAAACTAAGATTAGAATAATAGTATATTTACTGAAAAATTGAAAAGGGGGGCTAAACCAACCCCCACCCCCAAAAAACGTTTGGGGACTATGCCCCAATTTTCAAAGCCTATATTATGTCTATCTTTGAAAAAATAAGTTTGGGAGGCTGCCCCCTCTAGCCCTCCCTCCGGTTCCGACGCCTATTACAAGTTTATTACGCATCGCTTCTTATCATCAATATTTCACATTATCAATTTCTATAATGTAATATTAAGAAAGACTTTTTTGGGGTGGGGTGGGGGTTAATTTTTATTTCTTTCTTTCCTTGGTTTTTTTTTTTTTTTTTATTTATTTAACTATAATTTATTCATTTTGAGGGAAAGTTCATCCTAACTTAAAAGATGGAACAAAAATTCTCAAAAAACATGGGGCCAAAGTATACTTGTAGTTTGAGTAAAAAATCAATCCATGTCACTTGATAACCAGTAATTAATGAATCAGTTTTACATGATTTCTCGTAATTATGCGTAGAGAGGTTTGTAATCTATATAGAAAAGGAGAAAATATAACGCGTTAAATTATATGACAATTCTACATTGTATATACATTCAACTATGGAAACCTATGTTATTGTTATACAGTACTTTTTGTAATGACAAAATGTACTTTCATGGGGGGTTGTGTATGGACTTTTGTTGCGAGGATAAAAATGGCAGTGCATGTCCATAAAAAATTTATATTTTCTTTTCAAAGATTTGCTTTTGTATTATAAAATGCATGTAATGAATTATAATATCTAATAATATCTATTTTCATGAAAGTAAATAAAGGAAGAAAAAGAACACTATGGAAACCTAGCTCTTTATATCTGTTCTATAATGCTTTTTTGGGGGGGGGGGGGGGGGGGGCAAATGCCATTAAAATCATCAGCCTTTGTAAGTTCACTTATTATTAAAGTAGTACTATCAAGGAACGGCATTGATAAAAAAGGGTGTTGAAGTTCTTTTATTATTTTCCTTAATCGGCAAAAATTATGAAAAATATAAAACAAAAGCCGAAAACTAAAATTTAGGTGGAGAGAAAATTGGCTTGAGGGGTAGTCACACTTTATAGCTTTTAAGCTGTGTATGATCTCTCGAAAATATTGGCTTTCCTTAGTAGAAATCCTTCTCTAGATCCAGTTTTTCCGGGGGACTCCCCCTCTAAAACCATTTTCCCGGGAAATACTTGAGGGGGGGGGGGTCTACCGTACAAAGTCGGTACTTTTGCTGGTTGGAACAATGTTGAGGTCTACATGAATATTTTATGTTTTTGAAGGGTCGAAGAAGGTCTTGATTAAAACTATGTAAATTAAGATTCACGACGCTATCAACCCCCCCCCCCCCCCCCCGGCCTGTGTATGACGAATGATGACCCTTATTGTCAACACACATGGCGCACGTTCTTACAGCGCACCGTAAGAATGATTGAAAACAAAAAATGTGTTTCCTAACTTTGTTTACATGTCTTTTGTGGGGCATAAGCAAAACGTCCTCTATCGGATAACACATCGTCCTCGCAAGGTTAACACAGCGTCCTCTCAAGCTTAACACATCGTCCTCTCACGGTTAACACACCGTCCTCTCAAGCTTAACACACCGTCCTCGCAAGGTTAACACACCGTCCTCTCACGGCTAACACACCGTCCTCGCAAGGTTAACACACCGTCCTCTCACGGCTAACACACCGTCCTCGCAAGGTTAACACACCGTCCTCTCACGTTAACACAACGTCCTCTTACGTTAACACAACGTCCTCTAAAGCATAGTGAAAAAATCATGCTTTAATTTTCAAAATACAACATAATGCAACCCCCCATCGTGTATCTAGTGCCAAACCTTATAAATATACCAAATCTTGAAAAAATATCTCAATTAGAAAGTATAGTCCTCGAAGGAATGTGGGGTGTCATAGTCCTCGAATGGTCGGTGATGCATGTGAGGGTGTGTGTGTGTGTGTGTGTGTGTGTGTGTGTGTGTGTGTGTGTGAGGGGGTGTGTGTGAGGGGGTGTGTGTGTGTGTGAGGGTGTGTGTGAGGGAGGGTGAGAGGGTGTGTGTGTGTGTGTGTGTTATACTTATATAATTATTTATCAAATATACAACTTTTATAATTTGGATAGGGAAGGGGCAAATGAAGTAGTTTACTTAGAAATTTGAATTTTAATCTGTTAAGCATTTTTGTATAACTTTCCAAAAAAAAAAAAACACAAACTAAAAATCAGTTTCTTGTTATGTCCTTTCTCTTGAAAAAATGGGAAATACATTATATACATCATCACATTCGATAAAAAACAAGAAGAAACTTTTCCTTTAAAATTTTCTTTTATTCAACATTTAAAAGGGTATAGCAGCAAAATAAAATCTCGGTACAAAAATTAAAACAATCCAAAAAATAAATAAATAAAATTCGTAAAATATCGTTTATGACATAGTAAATAAATGCCAATCATTTTTAAGGGACCAATCAATATTTATCATCGGTGCTAACGATTTTTTTAGATATATAAAAATTCTTTATATCATACATGCATATCATATAACTTCCCATTTATTCAGCACAAGGCATCCAGAATTGTTTGGTAGATTCCTACCACTTGTATGGTATAGATTCTCTTAACTTGGGGAAATTTGGTATTTTCCTTTTCATAACTAATTGCTTTTGGAATTCTTTAGATGTAAATTTGGATTACAAGCAACCTAAAAAAAGTAGACAAGCTAAGTTATATGAAGCAAATGAGCCACATTACATGACTCTGTATTTGAAAATGACCAAGGAATTTTAATACTACTGGGATTGAAGAAGACTTGAATTATTATTTTTTAAAAAAATCCAACAATATGTTCGGCTAGTCAATCAATATTCGTTTGATCTCTTAAATGACTCTAGCTTTTTACATTTTTGAATTACATATGGCAAATTAGATAGGGTATTCTGTTTGTAATAACATATACTTATGAAAACTGAATTGATATATCAATTTTTAAGATAATCTGACATGTAAAAGGGCAGGAGAAGTTTCACACTAAAGGCCAGGTCCACATTGTTTAAAAAATTACAGGGGGATTTTGTTCAGGGTTATAAATTACTATTCATAAATGAGAATTAAGTGTCCCTTGCTTCCTTATAATCAAAAATCAATATTAGGTCCCATAGTTACATACTTACATGCCATTACTTACTAGCGTATTTTTAGTAATGCGTTTGCAGTGATAAGTTTTGTTACATATATTTAGAGGAAAAATATGAATGTCCCATTTACATTACTGTTGTAAAAAAAAATTGTCCCATCTTAATGCATGCCCCCAAAATACATGTCCCTTCATACTTTGCACCGGTAATAAATATTGCCTGGTCTATAACTGAATGAAATATTTTTTTTAAGTCACTTGAAGTCTGATCAGAATTTTGGAAAAATACATGTATTGAAAAACCATTTTAAATAAATTAATATAAATATTATCAATTATCAATTACACACCAATATTGTCATTAATTTTCAGACAAAGACGATGTTGCAGTGCAAGAATGTTGCATTTACCCTCGCCTTTAGTGTATTTTTCTTAGTTTTTGTCAAGGACGTTTCTGCAAAGGAGGTTGAAACAATTTTGCTGAGAAGGTACACCATTTAAAGTTTAATTTCTCTTCTCAAATGAGCTGTATAGTACAATATTCATCATTAAGCAAAGTAATTTTTTTTTATAATTTCAGCCGGAAATCTAGACATATTATGGCAGAATTGTTGCTGATGGACTATTTGGCCTCCAGACACACCGATAAATTAGGATACGGCCTTAATATATCACACTAGTACGTATTTTATTTCTTGAGTCTTACTTTAACAATTTACAAGTTTAACCACTTCATGTAGACTCATCGTATTTCCTAGTAAATAGAACTTAGTCTTTAAAAAGTAATGATAAGAATTTAATCTCCTGTTGGGAAAAAAGTGAAAATTAGCATTTTCAAAGAAGTTTTCGCATTTTTTGTTTCAGAAAAATCCTCGGTAAATGAAAATATCGATAGTAATGTTTACATTTGATTTCAGCGGTAGATAGCAAAATCAAGGTTTACTGGTAAGTAAAATCTCTTTTATGTTTGATACCACTACATATTTAATTATGTAACTTTAAGTTAAAAAAAAAATATGTAATTAACTTATTTTTAGTAATAAAAAAGATTTACATTGAAAAATTCTATTTTTGCTGAATTTTATTTTTCTCGAAATATTAAAATTTTTGATGAAGTATTGAAACTATGTTTGGTTCTCTTCTGTTTTAGATTCACTTGCAATCTGGGAGACTTCGAAGGTGACACCTTCCAAACGATGCGAATGTGATATTTCTAATACTGTAAATGATGATGTAATAAAATCCCAAATGTCATATTTTAGTCTCTCTCCACTTGTGTATTTAATTCTAACGTGCTGATGCAAAAGTCTGTCTTATACAATCTCTTAAAGGATACAGAACATATACAAAGTATCTATGAGGTAACAAGTGGACTTTTAACTTTGACATAGTTTTCTCTTTGTCCGTCTGTCTATCACAAAATTCTGCCCATCCCATCGGCCTCAAAACGTTTTTGGAATGGTTTTAAGGTTTCATATGATTTGCCTGTAAGATTTGTCATGATCTAAGTTAAGGTCCTATTTGAAGATACAAGATCAGGCAATGAAATTCCATCCGGGCTGTAACTCTGAAACCTTAGATGACTTGAAATGAAACCATACCCTGTTGTTGCCAATAATATAAAGTTATATCTTATGTCAAGGCCAAATGTAAAAGGGTCAAATTCCTTCGAATTGATAAAAATAATTCTACGTAGATGTAAATTTAAGTCTAAACAAAATTTACTATGTTTTTCGCCCGAAAATTGCATATTTTGACCAATATCTCCAAATTTACATCACTGGCCTCAAACTTTTTCTTTCATTATTTTAAATTACACGATATTCCCCACGATAAATTAAAGTTCAAGTTTTTTTATATCTTTGACAGCTGCTTTTTCAACAAAAATGGAACTCGTAAATTTACTTACCTTGTCATTGGTCATTTGCAAAATTATTTTGTTAAAAAACATTCTGATTGTACACACAAGTACTTTGAAGTTGATATTAAAAAGATGCTTGAGTTTCTGATTGACAATATCTATGTAGTTTTTGGAGACCAGGTCTTCCAACAATCTATTGGAATTCCCATGGGTACCAATTGCGCCCCGTTATTAGCAGACCTATTTTTGTATTCATATGAAGCAGATTTTGTTCAAAATCTTTTACGTGAAAAGAAGAAAACACTTGCTGTGGCCTTCAACTGGACATTTAGATATATCGACGACGTATTGTCAATTAACAATGGTTATTTCCATTCTTATGTCGATACAATATATCCCGGTGTGCTTGAAATAAGAGATACCACAGCGTCTGACACATCTGTTTCATATTTGGATATTTCAACTCGACATTTAGATATATCGACGACATATTGTCAATTAACAATTGTTATTTCCATTCTCATGTCGATACGATATATCCCGGTGAGCTTGAAATAACTACAGAGTCTGACACATCTGTTTCATATTTGGATATTTAACTTGAAAAAGACGTTAATGGTAATCTAACAACAAAGATTTACGATAAACGTGATGAGTTTAATTTTTCAATCATCAACTTCCCTTACTTATGCAGCAATATACCTTCATCACCTGCATACGGGGTTTATATCTCTCAGTTGATTCGATACGCAAAAGCATGCTCTAAGTATGTACAATTTCTAAAACGAGGTAAATTATTGACAAACAAGTTGATGAAACAAGAATATCAGCAGTCTTGTTTAAAGTCATAATTTCGTAAGTTCTATGGTCGCTACAATGACCTTGTCAGCAAAAACAATTTACCATTGAGTCAAATGCTGACTGACGTTTTTCATACTAATTGTTAGGCCATTATTTACACACTGAATTGTAGACGGATTTTTCCGTTATGTCCCGATCATGACAAGGAGCACACGGCAGGTGTGACCGGTCGGCAGGGGATGATCACTCCTCCATTCACCTGATCCCACCTCTGATGTTTTGGAGGTCCGTGTTTGCTCTGCACCTCTTTTGTAATGTTTAATGAACTTTTGAGCTTGAATATTGTTCGTTATCTCCATATATTTCATCACTGAGTCAAATGCTGACTTACGTTTTTCATACTTATCGTTAGGTCATTATTTACACACTGAATTGTTGATGGATTTTCCAGTTATTTCCCGATCATGACAAGAGCACACGGCGGGTGTGACCGGTCGGCAGGGGATGCTCACTCCTCCATGGCACCTGATCCCATCTGTAATATTTTAGAGGTCCGTGTTTGCTCTGCTTCAAAATTTGTATTGTTTAATGGACTTTTGAGCTTGAATACTGTTCGTTAGCTCCATGTATTTCTTTCAACCGATCAGTACTAAAGTCATGAAAAGCTTGATACAAGAAAATATTTTATTGCCAGTTTAGATTTTGATACGATACCCTAGATATGATATTTTTTAGTGCAATAATATTATTTAAACTATTTTACATGAAATAAGATTATATTTATTGCAATGATTACTTTTGGTAACATATGATAAATGTTAAAGTGATTAACCTTAAGGGTTACAATTTAAAGTTCAAAAAGGTCAAGTTAATTGTACCCTAGCTCAGTAACATGTACACTGATCCCCAATTTTCTTTGCGATTTGAGTCCTGCCATATAAGTAGATATCTAAGATATACTTCTAAAAAAATCCTTGATATTACTGATATCACGAGTGACATATTCTAAGTATAAATATTAAGAAATCGTTATCGCTAAATTTCACGTCAGATAGCTTACTATGACGACAAAGTACAGTGTATATGCAAGTCAGAATATCTGGTGGGTGCAGACTAAACATACCCGTCTAGAATAACATATTTTCTCGTACAACCAGGTTCCAGGGTCATAAAACTTAGACGAGCTCACCTTTGATCTCAGTCTCACTTTTACAAAAGGAATTATTGGTGGAAAAGTGAGACTGGGATCAAAAGTGAGCTCATCTAAGTTTTATGACCCCGGAGCCAGATGACGTCTTGCTAGCAAGGTAATATCCAACTCGGATGGGAAAATATCTTGCACATACGACATAATAACATGCAAATATGAGAATGTATTTAGTTTGAACAGTATAACAGCTCCAAAAACTTTTGACCTAACATGCTCTTTTGAACAAATTAAATGAACATTTTGAATAAAAACATGAATACCTTCTTAACAAAGATGAAAAGAAAAAAAAGAAATATGGTTTGAATTTTATGAGATTTTTTCATATGTTTGTTTGATTCTCTACCTTCTAATAAGTAGTTGTTACCCAATTTACACGAATAACAGCTTTAATGGAACCAGGCATGCTATGAATTAGGTTTTTATAGAACTTTTTCGGCATTGAGAACAATTCTCGCTCGAGTTTCTTCCACATATTTATCAAATTGCTGATATTATTTGAGAAAGGTTCTTCCGTGTGTTTAATTTTTGAGTTATGAAACGGTGATAATACAAATCACCAAGTCAAAATTTCTAACACTAATAACTAGGTACAAACCTATTTCTGAGAAATACTTAATACTGAAAGCTTTAAGTATCTCCTTCTTAGTACACGATCTTTCTCAAACTAAATGAAGTTTGTACGCGTCTGTGATCGGGAAACGTTACCGATTCAAACCCAGTTTAAACATTTTTGGCCAATTAAAGAACATACATGGTCAAAACATGCCAACCACTAAAATAGATACTTGTAGGACACCCAGAGAGAAATGCTACTCAGTTCCAAAACTTTTCTGTGTAAACTTAATTCATAGCATACCTAGCAGTGTTAACGATGTATATATAATGGAATAAGAGCGAGAAACTAAATACTAGAAGCTAAATCATGAATGCAAAAACTATGATTCGTTTAAAAAATTCATCAAATCTTTTGTTGAAGTCTTAGTTTAGAAGTAATGTATTTCCAAAATGTAATTTAATATGTTCATAAAGTTAAGTTAGGTTAAAAAGTGTTTTGAGCTATATTTATATTTATATATATATATATATATATATATATATATATATATATATATATATATATATATATATATATATATATATATATATATATATATATATATATATATATATATAAAGAGAGACAGAGAGACAGAGAGAGACAGAGAGACAGAGAGAAAGATAGATAGATAGATAGATAGATAGATAGATAGATATAAGACGCAAAAAAAAACTCGTGCAAATTAGATAGTTATGTGAACGAGATAATATTTCGCTCACAGTACATAGTGTTTTCCATCTTAAGCGATAAAAGTAATTGCATATCCTTAATATTAACCTAAATAAGGCTTAATTTTCGTGATATAAAAAAAAACTTAAGTCAATATTTGAGAAATTGCCACCAGAATAGAAAAAGTCTGTGTCTTCCCAAAAACTCGGGTCTTTGCCAATAAATTGAACCTTTTAGTCAAATTCAATCAAATTAAGGATTTCAGGAGTTCATGTTCGAGGTACATGTAACTTGATGAAATAACATGCAATGAATAATAAATATATAACAGTGTTTCTTTCCTTAGATTAATTCTCTGGTTTCTCTGATTTGTCTCAATATAATTTCCCTAGCATGTTGTTAATTCATGATCATTGATTCATATTAGACTTGAACTTGAAATTCGTAGATCAAACAATCAAAGAAACGGCAAATATACATTAATAGCTAACAGGACTTTCTACCCTGTACTATAATCAAAGGTCAGTACTGTATTTCCATTTTAGATAGTCTAATTCATCCAGATTCCTGAACGATATCATTTAATTTGACAATTAATTTAACATTTTTAATCTTATATTTCGGAGCAAATTGAAAATGGATTCAAATCATGCCATTTTCATTGGGAAAAAAAGAGATATATCAAAAGATTTTCGTAATTAGTGAGTAAAAATCTATTGAAAAAACACCCTGAAAAAAGGGTGATTTAAAAAGTTTCTTTTGTTGTCCTAACACAATAAAATGGTTTCTGAATTGCATTCATTTCA